CCGAACATTCGCCCGGCTCGTCTTTCTTTTTGAAGGTTATTCATTATTTGCTCTTTAACGGCTAGCGCGGAGGAGTGGTTGTCGGGGGTAAACCAACGTAAGTCTCCTATCTTGTGCTCTGGTATCCCTTGATGGAAACCTTCTTTCAGCGCCGTAATGACATGTTTCCATCTATCCGATAGATTACATTCTTCTAGCAGGGTTTCCCACTCTGGTATCACCATCTCGCATCGTACCTCTTCGGGCCACTGTCTCTCCGATTGGGGGACTCTCCTTAGTGGTCGAACCTTGTCAAGTCTCTCTTGACCGCTCATCAGGATTTCATCTGATTCGGCGGCAATACTAGTAGAGTACAAAAAAAAAAGGGGGATAACGTAAGTCAGTGTTGTTTCCTCCTCTCACTCCCGTGTCTCACTAGGGGGGGGTTGTTTGGAGGGTGTGAAAGTCTTTTAATATGTATTGCATGTGGCTTTCTCAAACGTAAGTGTGTGATAGTATTCACTCTTCTTTCATTATTGTTTCAGTGGGGCTTCTAACATGATTTTAATTGGGTGTGGATACTAATAGGGGTTACAAGCGTTTGTTCTCTTATATCTGCACTTACTTGTTACCAGTTGCGGAACTTCTGCCTTTCTCAGCCTGATTTCCACTACTACTCGGTGCTGAGCTACCCTCTAACATCAACTGCTTGGTTTGAGGCACAAAGCTTCCAGGTCCTATAGCTGGTCTGTTGGTTTGCGGTATGAACTGTCTGCTCTGATTTTCGTGCTGACTAAAATGATTGAAGCTACCATTGTTGTTGGGATACGATCGTCTCGGGCCATTCACATGGTGTCTCACATTCGACTGGCTGCGATTCTGGAAGGGTCTTCCTCCACGTCCTGATCTCTGGCTTCTAGACGGACCGGCATGTGGGTTGTGTTTGTGAAACAGGGGTGTAGCTGATATTGGGTTCAGAGCTGAGACTAATCGACCTCCTGTTCCTTCTAGTTTAAGCTCCTGGATGATGTTTAGGCCATCCCACGACTGGTGCTCAGGGTAGATCTGCCCATCTATCGGGCTTTTGTTTTGCAGGGTGTAGCCTATAGCATACGGGTTATCGTCAAACAACTCGTCTTTCGCGAACTCCGAGTCCGTTATGGCTTGTTTAACTAAGGCTTTGTTCCGGAATCCGACATCAGACATTCTGCCATCGGGTAATCGATGTTCCCAGACGTTCTGCCTCTGGGCTATATCGTAACGAAACGCCGGGGTCCATCTGCCTTGTTGCTCTAGCTGGATTTCTAGTACGTTCATCTTATGGGCGATGAGACGTGGTGCCATCGGGTGGTTAATCTGATTTGGCAATTTGTCGTACTCTGCTTGATGATATCTGACCATTAGATCGAACCTCTTGGACCACTCAGCCGACGTGAGGCGCCACTCGCTAGGGATTGGTAACCCCACATAAGGGATGGTGCCTGAGTGACAGCTTGCAGGTTTCGCTCTCTTCTTAGCCATAAAGTTCTTATCCAGTAACAGCCATTTGACGTTGAAAATCGAAACCGGAACATGTCTATTCTTATTGATCATGAGTTTATCGAAGTAGTCTGAGAGTTTTGGCATGGTGTGTGTGAGATGACATCCAACTACAACCTCTGTATTGACTTTCTCTTTCTCCTTCTTTGACTTCTTGGCGGAAGGTTGCTCATCGTCTTCCGCCTCCTTTTCACTCTCTGTATCTTCTAATCACACGAATCGATCAGGTCGGTTGAGTCTTTTACGGCATTCTCTTTATTTCAGGGGTCAAACTCTGCTCACCATCTGAATCAATGTCATATAACTGAGGATCTCGCTCTTCTGAATTATTCTTCTCGCACCATTTCATGTACTGGGTGGTCAACATTTCCAGTCTCTTGTCTTTTTTCTTCCTATACGCGGTCTGGATGTTACGGATCCATTTTTCGTGTGCTAGGCATAGCTGAGGGTCTAGGTCTGCATCTTCCGTATCTGCTTCTATATTTGGTTCACGTAGGGAACAAAATTTCCGCAAACGTAAGTTTCTCTCTTCTCACTCGTTCTTCTCTGTTTATATAGATTATCACTTCTGGGCCTGACACGTAACAAATGCATGTTTCAAGATATATATTGATTAACTGGATGTTGCTTCGGAATTTAACCGGTTAGATCAACAAGGCCTTTAGCTTCAGGTGATTTTCAAATACCACTATGGACATTCTTTATTCTCTTCGGAATTTAACCGGGATGTGATGTTTTACTGATCAAGTGACTTGTGGGCTTTTCTTCTCCTCGGATTTTAACCGGAACTTTCTTCTCCTCGGATTTTAACCGGAATCAAGCTTTACACTAGTTAGATTATATATTACTCACGTAGGCCGACTAAGATACCACCACTGCGTTCTACTCCATCCACCACTCCTACTGCGGTGGTTTCATTCGTGGGCTCTGTCGTCACATCTGGTTCTTCTTGGTGTTGGGCGTTAGCACTCGTACTCGCCGTTGGTTGATTGGTGTTATTCGGTGGGCCTCTATTTTCTTTAGGGTCGGTATCTTGTTCTTCGTCGTCGATCTCTCTGTCCATACCTTCTCCCGCTTTTTGGCTTCTTGTTATGCATTGACTCTTCCCTTTGACTTTGTCCACGACATTGACTGACTTCTTGGGGGCTGCAGCTGTTGATCTCGGTTCCAGGGTGGCGTTAAGGGTTTGTTCGTTGAACTCTTCGTTGTTCATTTTAGGATGGTTTTCTTTTCTCTTTTTAAAACTTGAATATGATTGTTCTTGTAGGGATATATATAGAATGTGATTGAAGTTGGTGTGTTAGAAAAGGGAAAGAATTTCTTCTATACTGAGTTTATGTAAGAAAGAAAAGAAAAATTTGTCCTTGGAACAATGTGTTGAAAGAAGATGAGCGTCTTTCAACTATGTGCGGATGGGGATGGATGTGAGTGTGAGGCAGAGATTTTCTTTCTGCCTGTGCACACTCACTCGCTATCTATTCCTCTTAGCTCGGTCCGGTCTTAGCGCCGGGTCTCTGATCTACGGGGCCGTTCATCCCCAGTCCTTATGGAACACACGGATACCGTCGTCCCTTTGAGCATCCGTATCACACAATTTCCTATATAGCCACATAGATATTCTTTGGGATTAGATGCAGGTTTTTTGTCTCAATGAAAGATATAGTCACAGAGTTTGGCTTTCCAATGAACAAAAAATCAAGTGGTTTGACCAAGAATTGACAAAGATATAAGGGATTGTTGAATTCAAATTATGCCCTCCAATGTCTGTTACAGGTTGTAATCTAACAATCCTGGAGGTTTTTTGTTAGTACAATCAAAGATTCTCACACTAAAAATACAAAAACATACTCAAATTCAAGGTCTCAGCCATAGGAACAATATGCATAATTTTGTGTATTTTTGTCTCTCTTCAAGACTGCTCAATATCACTGTTTGTTGGTTTTTATATTTTCTGCCCAGAAGATATTATATTTTGTGTAGTATTATATGCATTGTGGTTTTAAAAATATGAAAAAATATGCCAGACAATTGGAATGCATCAAAGGGCCCTCCCATTATTTTTTCATATTTTTCTGACCCTTGCCAGCTTCTCTATAATTTTCTATGTCTACTCAATTTTCTAAACTCCACGGTAAATTTGCGATTTGGCGTAGTGTAAGCGCCTACATGGAAAATACAATGTAGGCGCTGGAAGAGGTGAGTAGTGCCAGCAACGATGGACCAGCTGCGCTTTGCTGCGCTTCGGGCCAGTTAACGGAAGCGCAACGGGATTAATAGTTTTTTTAGCCCAAATCAGCGCCTACATCCAGTCGTGCAAATGTAGGCGCTACAAATCCAGCTTCATAACCCCTCAGCAGGGTAATGAAGCCCCATTTTGATGTCCAAAACGCAGTTTGGCCTCGAATTGAGTGCACCGGAGGACGGACAACGCATTTCGGACTCGAAATGAGAGAACCGGAGGACGGAAAAGACCAAAAACGCAGTTTGGCCTCGAAATGAGTGCACCGGAGGACGGAAAACACATTTCGGACTCGAAATGAGAGAACCGGAGGACAGAAAAGACCAAAAACGCAGTTGTGTTATTGTATTTGAAGTTTAATACAATCTTCTCATCTCAACATGAAGGGGATCAGATTATTATAATTCAGAAATAGAAGGTTTGTAAATAACTTCCTCATATATATCAATCAAATTTTAACAAAAAAAACCCATTCTGAAATTCTTACACAAAAAAAAGAAATACAAATTAATCAATAACAACAACTTTGATTTTTTGAAGGGTGGAGGGTTGAAAAAGTTCAAAGTCCGTGTTCTAGAGTGGAAAAGGGGGAAAGGAGCCAAGGGGCCTCTATATCAGTGGATTTGTACGTGAAGTTTGACCAAACTTCCACGTACACACACGTGTAGGCGCGCAGAAATGACGCCTACATGGCTGTATTAGGAAAGTGGGCGCTTTTTTCCCATGCCTACATGGATTTTCCTGCATGTAGGCGTGATATTCACCCGCCTACATGTCAAATCTTAAATGTAGGCGCAATTTCTGAGCGCCTACATGCAAAAAAAGGGATGTAGGCGTAAAATTCAAGCGCCTACATATGTAGGCGCACCCAAATTACGCCTACAGTCGAAAAAATAAAATGTAGGCGTAAATTCCGTGCGCCCACATATGTAGGCGCTTCAAATTGACACCTACATTTCATTTTTGGAATGTAGGCGTATACAAATGACGCCTACATTGGTTTTCCAGCCTGTAGGCGTCATTTGAAAAGGGAAAAAGCGTCTACAGGCTGTATGTAGGCGCTTTTTCGTGGGAAAAAGGCATGTAGGCGCTGTTTTGGCAGCGCCTACATGGATTTTGTGTGGGCTGCAAATAGCAACGGCCTTAAGGTAAAAATATACTATTATTATTATATTTTTGAGTAGTAAGAAGTTAGTATAGCACTCCAAAGACAACATGAGATGTGACTGGAAACATCCATTCTTTAATGAGTATGTAAAAGTACAATAATCTTGTAATGAAAAGAAGCAGAGAGGCATACTCCAAAGATATTTTATGTCTCTGTCTAAGACAACTCTTGCGCTGGCATTTGTGGAAGGGATAGGTTCAATCAAGTTGAGTAGCAACACAGACCAAAAACTTTGTTATTTGCTTGATCTGATTGGGTGGTCAGATGACCGGGGTTTGCTAGCCAACGCCACCTGAGATGAGGACCATAGCCAACACACATATGGTATCTGGGGCTGCTTGACTGAGAAATGGGGGGTAGATTGATCCCAGTCAAGCCAAAAGGTTAGATCCATTTACAGCAAAAGCCTTTGTTTTAAGGGGTTTTGGAGTCATGGTTGTGTTGGGATGCCGTGATAGCACATATGAGATATTTTGGGGTACAATGATGTTGACCCAGTTGAAGTTTCTGATTTGGTATCACCATTGATGTCAGGTACATTTCTTCAGGTGCCTCACATACAAACCAATCAAATGTGCACAATGCAAATGATAGACAATGAGAGCATGAATGAAGCACAGCAATAATGTTTGTATTTTTATGTCCAATTGCAAGTTTCAATTATTTTTTCTCATTCATTGTTTACTAATTCAAAGGGGGGATGTTTGTAGCAGGATACACATATTATCCTGGTTACAAGTTATGGAATAGCCCAGGCCATATCTACTAGGTCCATTGTAGTGAGCTATTTATATTACTGATTTAAAATCAAAGGTTAAAAATTACATAACAACTGATTTACTCAAATATATCTTTTGATTATGGTGACTTATCAAGTTGTGCAATTCACATTTATTATAATTATTACTCAATTTCATATTTCTTTTTATCTCAACTATTTACAGCCATTCCGATATTGCTTGTCGCTCCGTTTTGAAAAAGAAAAGTTGAAACCTAAGTTTTTACTCGATAAAACTTCAAACTCAGCTGTAATTCAAGGCAATACAGCCAAACTTCAGGTTTTAACCGGTTAAAACTTAGGTTTCGAGCTCACAAACTTTTTCTTTTCAAAAAGGTGCGACAAGCAATATCGGAATGGCTGTACATTTATATTAGAGAAAACATATTAGAAGAGAATGTTGTTAGAAAAGATAGTTGAGAAAATTCAATAAAAATTGATAAGAAGAAAATCAATGAAGAGTTTTGATTCCTTTCTTTTGAAAATGTTCTTGCTAAAACCTCAATCACTTATCAGATTATTAGTGTATTCTGACAATGAAAACGTAAAAATGATCACAGTTTACCAGATAATTATGATATGAAATAAGGAAAACCATGAGAGCAAGATGATACATTGTGTCCCTTGATCTACATGACAAGTAGAGATATTTATGTCTCAAACCTGTCTTGAGGCTGGGCTCCAATTGCCTAGTGTTTGTATAAAATGAGGGAACAGCCATGACGTCTACAAGAGTTCCCCGGCTACAAAATATCTTTTTATCTTATCAGGGGGTTTCAAGTTATAATGATCTAGCTAGTCGAGTTGATGTAATAGACTTGTTTAATTAAGTTGATTTTGGTAACTTTTTGGCACTTTCTCTTGCTCTAATCAACTGATCTTCCTTTCCTTTGATTCAATTTTAAGCTTCTTTTGATGGATCTTTCAATTATGAGTTGTAGGTAATTTTACATCTGTGTTTCTTTCTAGTTCCTCTTGTACTAGCTAAGTTACTTCAATTTAATTTTGATTTAATTTGATTAATTGTTGCTATGTATTTCTTCTATTTTATTTAATGTTGTCTTTTCTCTTTTGATTATAATATTTTAAGATGTTTTCTGATTTTGTATCTTTGAAATAAAATAAAATAAACCGAAGGAAATGTATGAAACTGAATTAGGGCGGTTCAAGAAGAGAACCGCAAACCCACGTGACACGAAGTCTTGATCCACAAATTTAAGGCCGACTAGTACTTAAAATCCTGGTTTGCACAGTCACGAACATTGTAAATGTAAGTTTTAAGTCCCTCCAAAGTCAGGTCCAACGCATCTCACCAGTCGTCTTTTTCGGTTTTTTTCCTCAGTTCCTGTATTTTTTTTGGATCATCTTGTCCTAGCAAGACAAAAAAGAGGTACATCTTTCTCTGACTTGACCTCAAATCCAGCAGCCTCTTTCTCGGCTTCGATCTCAAATCCAGCAGCCTCTTTCTCTGACTCGATCTTGAAGGTAGATCAACCAGCCTCTTTCTCTGACTCGACCTCAAATCAACCAGCCTCTTCCTCGGCTTCGACCTCAAATCCAGCAGCTTCTTTCTCTGCCTTGACCTCGACCTCGACCTCAATCACCTGTCGCCCCAGCTTTCCCCGGAATGCAAAACTTAAAGGCCAAGCTCAACAATTGCCCAGTGGCCCTTCTGAAGGCAGTGAACCTGAGGAAGATCTAGCTTTTCCACCAGTTAGGCAATCCATCGCAAGCCCTCTGGTATCAACGCCTGAAGCGACCCGCCGCAAAAAGCGGTGGCGGGGCGGCGACGGGGCGGGCCGCCCCGTTGCCGCTACAAAAATTTTTATGCAGGGGGTCCAATTGCCCCGCCACCGCCCTCCCCAGAAAAATCAACATGTAGCGGGACGCGGGATTGGCGAGGCTGGTCAAAATGATGCCCCGCAGCCGCCTGTCAGAGCGGTATGTAGTGGGTATAAACTATATAGTCTATTACCTTTCATTCCCTTTCCACCGCCAAGAAATACGTAAAGACCACTCAATCCTTGGACCGACTTCACTTTGACTCTTCCACACAAGAAACAACCCTCAATACATCCAACTAACCTTCACTAACCTCCACTTTGGTATCAGCACGTTTTCAAAGTTTGAATTGGGAACTCGGAGTCAAATCAGCCTTTAAGTAGCCAAATCTTATCATATCAACAATAACAAGAGGTCATCAGACGTAGGTGAACGGGCATATGGTTTATCATTTGTTTTATCAGCACATTTTCAAAGTTTGAATTGGGAAATCGGAGTCAAATCAGCCTTTAAGTAGCCAAATCTTATCATATCAACAATAACAAGATATCATCAGAGGTGAACGGGTATCGACTATCATTTGTCTTTATTGATTTCATTCATTCCTCTCTTATACTGAAGTGGGATACTGATGATTCTAGCTTCTAGCTTGTTTTTTCTTGATCCTCATTAATGAGTTTGCCTGTGAAATCAAACCTGTTTAGAAAGAGATCAATGACGACATATCATGATGGACCCTATCTTATGTGCTCAGGACTCTATATAAGGTGAGTGGAGTGACTCTTAATCATTTTATTTTTCCCCAGTTGGACTTGCTTCACAAATTTTCCCTCAGATAATAATAAACTTACAATCATCTTACCATTTTATTTAAATTTTCAACGATCAAATCTCTATTTTGATTCTTTGATATAGTTTAGATACCATGTCTCTTTCCAACTCTACCCTTGCACCTCCTGGTTCTGCTACTAGTACTTGTCCTAATCTTCATCCAAGAAGTCCTACTCACTGCCAGCATTAAATATGTTCCCTGGTCGGAACATGACCTAGGCTGGGAATATCATTGAGAGAAGAATGGTGCATCAAATCATCTTGCACTGCACATCTGAGCCATAAAGCATACACTACATATGTGCAAACATCTGAGTAAATCCTTAGCTATCAGCTACATACAGGTCCGCTCAGTTTTCTGCTCATCTAGATAAGAAGTTCATGTGTAATACATGCTGTAACTTTGTTCAGATTGAGCCACACATCTCAAAATATTGACTACATATATCACAATGGCTACTCAGGAAATATTCATGGAACTGTGTAACAGTAGCAGGATGGGAATGTGATCACTAGGACCCATATTCCCATCTGGGAACCTCTTTAATGCTGGCATACTGGTCCTAGTGCTAGGCCAGGCTTTGTGATCCAGTCTCCCGACTCGCGAGTCTCACTTAGCCATCCTTTGAGTGACTTACCCAAGTTTGATCTTGATCAAAATCCTGGAAGTAGTCCCTATCATCCAGAAGAGCAAGCTGATACCGATGAAGCATCTGTTTCCTCTGTTGATGACAAAGCTGTTTCCGTTGTGGAAATAACCAGCGCCACCGACTTCCTGGCTTCTGTGCGACACAACGAGAAGAAGAATGTTTGACGAGCAAAGGCCAAGGAAGTAGCAAAGGCAAAGTCTCCTCGTGGGCGTGGAAAGGGTCGTCCCAGAGGCTCTGGTGCCTCCGCCAATTTACCTCGAGCAGCAGTGAAGAAACGCAAGACAACTGTTCATCCTGTTCTTGTAAGTTCAAAGCTCCATTCGGAGATTGTGAGTTATTAAAATTGATCGAACTGATCCTTTTTCATCTTTTCACTTCTCATTCTCATTGTTGTCTTTATTCTCTTCTGTTTGTGTCTTTTTTCAAGACTGGTGTCCCATCTGGTGTCGATGTCAATCAAGACTCTGATGTAGAGATTGTGGATAGTGCAGGAGTTTGACGTGCTCAACTTGGGCGTGTTTTGGAGCTTTTGGAGTATTACTATCCTCCAACCCATGTGAAAGGTGAGGTAAGGGTTTCTTTTACAATATTAATCTTTCCTCTATGTGTAACGTTCTGCCCTCGAATTGACTCTTGGCTTACCCTTTCTTTGTTTGTATGTTTCAGACAGGCAATGATCCTTGAATGTTCAAGTGTCAATGGTGTATGAGCAGGTTCACGTGTGGTCTTCGCACGCACTACAACCTTTACGCCCATCGGGATGGGGCCAAGGGACGAGCAGCCTGCCCTCGAAGATCTGTGGCAATCCAGTCCGGCTGCATCTTACCTCGCACCTGGGCTCAAGAGCAAGCTGATATGGTGGCAGTATCTAACGAAGCCAATGGCCAACCCACTCTCGACTTGTTTTTGTCTCAAGCAACCTTCAGCATTGATTTGTGTAACATCTTTCTAGTCCTTTGGATCTTGAAGCTCACTCTCCCGTTCAACCGTTTCTACAACATGCCGCTTCGTGCTGCTTTCAAGCTGGCCAACCGACAAGCCAAATTGAGAACACCAACCTGGGCCGCTGGTGTTGCCAAGGAGCTGTATCAAAGCTTAAGTTCTGCAGTGATATCTATGGTATATGTAAGTCCATTCTTTGCTTTCATCTCTCTTTTTACATTCAATCGATCAACTTTATACTTATCTCTTTCAGCATCAACTTTCCTTTCTTTTCACCTTCTCTTCATTTTGTTTTATTCATCTTTTAGGAGAACACAGGCAAATTTTCACTTGTCCATGACGTTTGGACAGCTAAGGGTAACCGATACACTTTCATAGGAGTATCAGCTAACTTCATCAACAGCGAGTGGAATTATTGGACAATTCACTCAACGTTGAAGCTTGTTGCCTGGAACAAGTTCGGTTCACTTCTAGCACCGCCGGTGGCATGATTCTTGATAGCAAATGGTTTGCACAAGAGGATAAGTATTTCATTTATATCTTAATTCTCCTCTCTCGCTTCTCTTCTTTCAAGTAGACTAATTTTTTCAATTTTGGATCAATTACATGATAGGTCAAACTACTGATTCCGGTTCAAACAACAATACAATGGCAAGAGAGATGGAAGTGTTAAAAAGCTGTCAGAGCAGGGATGATTACAGTTCAGAACAGATCTAATGAACTTAATCAAATCCCACGAATTGAGTTACTCACCTGTCAGAGCAGGGATGATTACAGTTCAGAACAGATCTAATGAACTTAATCAAATCCCACGAATTGAGTTACTCACCTTTCACCCAAGAATGCAATAGAATATCTTGGATCAGTTTTATTTCCATCACAATTATAAGAATGAACAAGATATGAAAATATGAAACTTGAATGAACAACATACCTGTCAGAGCAGGGATGATTACAGTTCAGAACAGATCTAATGAACTTAATCAAATCCCACGAATTGAGTTACTCACCTTTCACCCAAGAATGCAATAGAATATCTTGGATCAGTTTTATTTCCATCACAATTATAAGAATGAACAAGATATGAAAATATGAAACTTGAATGAACAACATACCTGTCAGAGCAGGGATGATTACAGTTCAGAACAGATCTAATGAACTTAATCAAATCCCACGAATTGAGTTACTCACCTTTCACCCAAGAATGCAATAGAATATCTTGGATGAAGAGGGAAAACTCGCTTTGCTGCTCTTCGAGGTTTAACATTAATAGTCTTTGAAAATGATACTTAGGTTAACTATGATGATAAACTGTTGTAAACATAACATGCACTTCTAAACGCTACATATGATATTAGTAAATGATGAATGAAATAATAAACACTAAGGTTTCAGACTTTATGAAATATGACATAAAAATTACATAACGAAAATGAAAACTCTAACATCCCCCCTATTTCAAAATCATTCCTAATTTATGTGATTAAGTTTGAGAGCATGAACAAGCGCTTGAGGACCTAATGGCTTGGTTAAGTGATCCGCTAGCATTTCTTCGCTTGGAATATGGTGTATTAACAGCTGATTTGATTGAATGAGATCTCGAATGTAATGATAGCGTCGATTGATATGTTTAGACTTAGATTTCAAACCGTCACCCGTGGCGGTAAAAATAGCTGAAGTGTTATCAATGTAGAATGGGGTGGGTTGTTCCAACTGATGCATTATGTCAAAATAGAAAGATCTAACCCATGCCATGTGTTTAGAACACTCCGTAGCCGCTATATATTCAGCCTCAGATGTTGATAGTGCCACGATCAATTGTCGCTGAGATTTCCAGCATACCGCTCCATCTGATACAGTGATGATGTACCCGGTTACTGATTTTCGCGTTAAAGAGCACTGTGAGAAATCTGAGTCAGAGAAAGCTTGAGGTTCGTCAGTCCCCCCAGAGTAGGTGATTGTAAAATCTTGAGTTCCTTTTAAATACCGTAACACATGCTTCGCAGCCATCCAGTGTGAGACAGTCCAGGCAGAGTTGTACTTAGATAGTTGTGATACCGCATATGAAATATCGGGACGAGTGCACGAAGATATCCATTGAAGGCAACCCACAAGCTCTTGATATGGTATGTCCTTGGCTTCTTCTATTTCTTCCACAGAACCGGGAGTGAGAATGGTCTTTTGCGGAAGGGGAGTTTTAGCCGACTTGCAGTTGACCATAGCGAATTGTTCTAGGCAGGACTCGATATAGTGAGATTGAGATATTTTGATATACGATCCGTCATCGGCAATGTCTAGTTTGATGCCGAGATATAGAGTAGGTCGTTCAGTCCATTTCAATTTGTATTTGGAATCAATGAAGGTCTGGAATTTGAAAAATAAGTCATCGTTGTCGCAAACACCTCGTAAACCTCGGTACTTCGGACCCGCACCGAGGAAAACGTGTACCGTATCCTCGGAGCGGCTCCGTATACAAGCGGCAGATGCATTTGGGATGTCTCAGATGCATCTGAAGGCATCCCCCAGCATGCCAAGTCCACTCGCACACGCCAACACAACTGTCTACACATGTATAAACAATGCCACACCCACATGTGTAGGTGTGTGACACAACACGTTAGCTTGACTTATCTACACACAAACATGTAGATCTTGTACACACGTATGTACACATGTGTGGCACATAAGAAAACATGTGCACACAAACCTGTGTAGTCTTGTGACACGCTATGGCTACTCACACTAAGTACGTACCTAAGTGCATCTTGTACACACCCATGCACACATGTGTGTGTCATGTGTTACACTGTTTTTGATATGTGACACACACAGACTGTTCGTGGTCACACCCACACCCATTTCTCTAAACCTAACCAAATTACCACGTGTGATGTGGGTTTGTCACTCAACAACCGCATCAAACACAACCACCCACACGATCAAACACCTCACCCATCACTACACCACACAATTGAAACGAACACATTCCTCTCTCATCACTTCTCTCATCACTTTCCTCGAACCAGTGGCAGATCGGTCTGGAATCTACCTTGGTGAGTCCAGTCTATCTACAAACTCACCTTCTGATCGATTGTACTTACACTTACAAACTTGATTTTTCGAACAACTCTGTATTATATCAATGATTGGCGTAACTCATCCTCACATCAAAAAAACGTCTCTCACTCATCCTTACATCACCTCACACAGTTTTTGATTGTTTTCTTAACTTCTTTCCATTCAACCTTTCAAACACGTTAATAACGCTTTAAAGAACCCAACCAATTTGTCCGGTAAGTCCAATCAATCTTCTTATTCTCACAACCTTCAGATCAATCGTACTCACATCAAACACAACTTTTCACACGTCCTCTCACAACATTTCACACCTTTCTCACAACACATCACACAACTTTCTCAAGAACCCAACCGATTTGTCAACCCTTGCCGGCTGAAATACCTCGGTAAGTTCAATCAATCTTCTTATTCTCACAACCTTCAGATCAATCGTACTCACATCAAACACAACTTTTCACACTTCTTCTCACAACATCTCACACCTTTCTCACAACATCTCACACCTTTCTCACAACACATCACACAACTTTTGAACTCCAACACAATTTTCATTTTCAATTCTTTTCCTTTATCATTACCAACCCATTGAATAACCAACTTGATCGATCCATTCAGCCTCACGATGACTGAGATTCCACCACCTGAGGCTAGAACTGGCTTCAAAACTCGACTTCACGCCATCCTGTACATTCAGGAACATGCCAACAATAATGGCTTTCGTGTAACCATCAAGGATTCCAGGGCGAAATGGGTTCAATTCAAATGTCATCTAGGACCAACTCGACACAAGGACACCAATTCCAATGCGAATACCAAGACGTGTGGATTTCTGTCCACCTCTAAACTCGATTCTTCCGATGGAACTTGGAATTTTACTATTCAAAACGCGAATCACAATCATGAACCAGACTTCAATATACACAAGCACGATCTTGCGATTTTACGTGACACCATCAGCAAAGAAGAAGAAAAACAACATCGAAACATTGTAACACCTCAAATTCCTTCAGGACAAATCCTTATACCTCATATTCAATCAGTCCAACCTTCGACTTCTGCAATCACTCCCCCGTTTCTTATACTTCAATACCAAGCTCTGCAGCAGCAAATGCAAGCTCTGCCAATGCAGTCTCAAGTGTATCTATTGACTCGATTCCTTTCCGAATGCCAGCTTTCTGCCGGACTCGCAAACACAGTCTCAACTCCTATTCCCACACCTCTACCTCCTAATCCTCTCCCCGAAATCTCGAATACAACACCCCAAGATTCAACAACTCCAAAGGCTTCGAATCAGTCTACTAATGATGAAGACACACAAGAATCACGATTTTTAAGCAACTCACCCATCAAATCTAATCCAGATCAAAGCTTGGTAAGCTTGTTCAGATATGATTCATCATATTTGATGCTTACTATGTATTGATCTGACTTCTTAGCTTAATATCAAGAATCGAGAAACGGCAAAAAGTGGAGAATCGAAAGGGAAAGAACGCGAGGAGCCGCCAATTTCAGAAGAGGAAGAAGCACCTGAAGAAAATCACGCACCAGTATGTCAATCTTTGACAACCTTAAGCTTACCGCTTATTCATTTAGCTAACACACCATGTTACCTTACCACAGGATAGCAATCCCGTTGTTCATAGGAGTCCAAAGATTTCGAAGGTAAGCTATTCACATTATTCAATAAATGTGTATGTCAAAATTCAACTAAACTGATACATCATTATTTTGAACAAAGAAGAAAACACCGAAGAGAAAAGCTTCAGCTGTGGAAGAGCCGACACACAATAACCATCCTACGAGTCCAATAACAACGAGGGCTTCAAGCTCAAGCCAGGCTCAAGTTGCCCAAAAATCGACTAGGACAATTCAAAATAAAGAAAACGTAGGAGATCAAATCATAATTAGATGACTATCATCAACTAACTCCATTTGTTTACTCTAGGATCAACCAAAGGTGAAGAAAGCTCGGACACAAGCAAACAAGCATGAAGTTAGTTTCCAACTTCCATTTTCATCACTCGTCTTAACTAATTGATTCATCAGCTTACCTTGCACCACAAAGCCTCCAAACAAAGATCGAAGTCGAAGGCAAAGCCGAAGCTATCCAAATACGAACAAAAAGTGATGGAACGCGTAAAGAACATGTCAAAAGAAAACCAGGCAATAGTCAAAGTACGTCCCTTGCTGGCTTCATTTCTTAGTTTATGAACAGATAGAATGTATACGTGTAATTTTACTGATTTGATATTATGATTCAACTCGCAGAGATGGGATTGTGTCAAGACCCTCCCCGTAGAGTTGTTTCCTTTCATCAAATCCGCCGTTAACCCACCCAGCAAAGGTCTCTGCACCTTTGGAGCAATTGCGGTACAACTTGGTCGAGGTGTTGATGAGGCACCGATTGTCAGGCGTGAAATGCTTGCAGAAGTCCAAAAACGTCTCCCTTGGTATACGAAACACCTTTTGACATTGTCATCTGAGCCGTTTGACATAGAGAAGATGCTCTCGATTCTTGAAAACCCCAACTTAGTAGTAGGCCGGGAGTTTTACTACCCGATTCCTGGAGGCTGCTGTATTATAGCAAATACCTACGAAAGGCCAGTCATATCTTACTCTGATGTCGCCCAATACTCTGCGACTTCATTACCTTTTTTCACTTCACCGGATAAAGAAAAAGACGCCCAGCCTATCATTCTGGGAATGATAAATAGCTGTCACTGTATATCACTCACACTGGATATCCAACCTGAGCTTCCAATCCCTCATATACGATCAGAGTGGTTTACATTACGGGACAGCATTGCTATTGGATGGGAGGAAAGGTTTTTAGGTAACATCAAAGTCTACAATGAGTGGCGCAAAAGTGAGAACAAGAAGATTGATTGGTCCAAAGCACGTCAAATTGATCTTGATTCTGGCTCTTCTGATTTATCTGAGCCTGAAGAATAAGTAGTTTTAATGTTTTCTCTTTTCTTGCTTCTATCCTAAACTTGATCTCTTATTAATTCTTTGTTATTTTGGATCTACACCTTGGAAATCCCCTGGTTTGTTTCGGTTCTCCTTCTTTGATATTTTTTTTGTCTTTCTTGTTTAATAATATAATTCAAACTTAACATGAATCAGAACCACAATTGTTCCATGTTTCAACTTTGCAATTGAGGTGATCTGGCTCCTAAATTGATGTGCCCACATTTATGTTTTTACAATCGTGCCACAACGGTGGATGGAGTGGCACATGTGACACAATAGTGCCACACCGTTGTGACACTCCATCCACAGCTGTGGCACGACTGTAAAAACAGTGTCACAATGGTGTGACACAACTGTGTCACACGTTACACAGGTGTGACCCATCATGAGACATTTGTATGTTTTGGTTTCAATAATATAATTTAAACTTAACATGAATCAGAAGAACAATTGTTCCATGTTTCAACTTTGCAATTGAGGTGATCTGGCTCCTAGATTGATGTGCCATCATTTTTGTTTGGACTTACGAGCCAAAAATGTTGATTGGAGTGTCACATGTGACACAGTAGTGCCACACCGTTGTGCCACTCCATTCACAACGGTGTGCCACAATTGTGTCACATGTGACACAATGGTGTGGCACAGCTGTGTCACACGTGACACAATTGTGACCCATCATGTTGTATGTTTTGGTATCAATAAGATAATTTAAACTTAACATGAATCAGAAAAACAATTGTTCCATGTTTCAACTTTGCAATTGAGGTGATCTGGCTCCTAACTTGATCTGCCATCATTTTTGTTTGGACTTACGAGCCAAAAATGTTGAATGGAGTGTCACATGTGACACAGTTGGAGCACACCGTTGTGCCACTCCATTCACACCGGTGTGTCACAGTTGTGTTAACAGTGTCACAATGGTGTGGCACATATGTGTCACACGTCCCATCATGAGCCATTTCTCGTGTGGTTACACAAGAACACAAGAAATGATAGTGTAATGCAAGGTTTGTCCAAACCCTATGTACACATGAGTGTCATCAAGGTGTAACCTGTGTCACACCCATGAGGTCTGTGACTGACACAGCTGTGGTTCATGGTGACACAAACCTCACAGCTGTGACACAATTGTTTCACCTCTGTGAGGTTTGTGTCACCACTAAACAATGTTGTGCCACAAACAACTGTGTCACCACAAACCTCACAGCTGTGTCACAGCTGTGGTTTGTGGTGACACAAATCAAATTGCCACAATTTAATTCAATTGGATCACTGTATTAATTCAACGATTCATTTGAATGAATACAATTGAATTCAATTGAATGAATTGAATTGAATCAAATCAATCAAATTGATCCAATCGAATCATCCGATAGAATGATTCAATTGTTTACATTTGATTGATTTGATTCAATCCAATTCATTCAATCGAATGATCCAATTGAATCAATACAATTGAATCATTCGAATTCATTTGAAAATTCAATTGAACTTGTTCATAGGATTGTTCAATACATTTATTTGTGTTGATATATTCAAATGAATGTATTGATCGAAAGGGATTCTTTCAAATGATGCATTTGAAAGAATCCTTTTTAATTCGATTCAATCATTTGAATTGATGAATTGAATCAAATCAATCGATTAAATACAATTACAATTAAATAAACCTATTGAAAGGTTTCATTTCGATTTCATACTTCTGTTCCCATCGAGCGCGATGGGAATCTACCTTACCACCCATCCCATCATCTTTTCAATTCTCAACTCGCTTACACCCTCAAGATTTACCTTTAATCTAAGTGGACAATATTTCAAATCAAAAACGATCAATATTTCCTCTTAGTCGTGGTTGCTTGATTAGAGTGTTGTTGGCCTCCGGCTACGATCCATCTGGTCATACGGCTCGCTGATTTGAATATTGCTGCATCAAAATCGACTGTATCAATTGAATTGATTGTATCAACCACCTCTAACCAAACTCTTGCGGTTACTGGTTCACTAGTTAATCGATCGAGTAATGCTCAAAGTCGTACATCTTCCAATCCATCTCATCATCGGCTGATTGTTTTGTCTTACTTAATCTTACATAGATCACCATGTCACGTCAAAAAAGAAGGAAAAGAGCCGAAAAGAATGGATTCAAGAAGAAAAACTTCAAATCTAAAACATCCCCATCAGCTGTCAAGCGGCGAACTGAGAGATGGAAATCTTATTACGACCTAGGCCGATTATATCCTTGAAGGCATACCCGCCAAACTGAAATTAAAGCTAGACTCACCAAAGAGCTTGGACTTCACTGCCAGCATTAAAGAGGTTCCCAAATGGGAATATGGGTCCTAGGGATCATATTCCCATTCTACTACTGTTACACAGTTCCATGAATATTTCTTGAGTATGTAGCCATTGTGATATACGGCCGATCTTTCACT